CCGCCGCCTCTCCGCCGAAGCCGGCGCCCAGCGCCGTGCCGACCGAGGAGATCACCAACGGCACGAAGATCCAGCACTAATGTGGGATGACGATTAAGGGAAAAAGGAAGGGGGAACGATTAAAAAAATAGTTTCCCACACCGGGGGGAACGCTCAGAAGCAGGGCTCGCCTGTGCGGTGTTTCGTCACCGGGGGGGGCGCGCGCCCGAGGACGGCGGGGGGGGGGACGATTAAAAACATAGTTTCCCAGCCCGGGGCCGGTTTTTTCTAATCATCATCCCGGGCGCCGCTGCGTGAACACGACCCCCGGTCATTTATTAATCGTCATCCTCCATTACATGAAGAACTTCACCAAGCAGGAGAAGAGGGCCGCAAAGCAGCTGATCAAGAGGATCAGGTACAAGTGGAACCAGTTGAACACGTTGCTGAAGGTAAAGAGGGAGATGAAGGAGAAGCGGATGAGGGAGGAGAAGGTCCCAATGGCCGTGGAGCGTCCGAGGCTGCCCGTGCCGCCGCAGCCACCGCCGCCTGGCAGGTGGACCTACCCCGACCCGAACATGAGCGACCCGTGCGCGCAGGTCGTGAAGTGCCCGAGGACGCCTCCGAGGAGCAGCGCCACGAGGAGTTCTTCATCGGCAGTTCGGTTGCCTCCGCCTCCGAACCCGAGGGCACGACGAACGAGCCTGGCCAGGCGTACGAGAAAAAGCTCAAGAAGGAAAAGAAGAACAAGAAGGAGGTGGAGAGGGTTCGTGTTGAGCCTGAGGCTCATGTGGAGCCGTGCGCAGGTGGCATTTTCGAGAAGGTTGATGATGAGACCGATGAGCTTCTGCCTGCCGTCGCTGCCGGCGTGGAGGAGCCCGTTTCCGAGCGGCGGGAGTATTTCGAGGAGGACTTTGAGAGCCTGGGAGAGGACCTGAAGGAGAAGCTCAGGAGTTTGGGCTATTTGCGACAACGGTCGTCGACTGAGTCTTGAAGCTCTGCGTGCTGTTCGTCCCGGCTTGTTCTTCTTTCGGAACGGTCTTATCGGCAAGGGTTTGGGGGCATATTATTCGGTGCTCTTCTTCTTCCAGCACTTTCGGCTCAAACCCGCTTTTGTTAGCCTGCTTGTTAGTCCAGTCTTGAGCCTAGCATGCAGCCGTCCACTGGAAAAAAATCCTCCTCCCCCTCCTGCTTGCTCCTCCTGCTCCTCCTCCTCCTCCCCTTACTCCTCCTCCTTTTCCTCCTAGCCCCTTTGTACCCGAGCGGGCCATCCTCGTGCGCACGAGGAGGGGGCGCAGCGCGGGGGAGCCATGATGAAGTGTTGCTGCGGAGCAAGGGCTACGGCATGACGAAGTCGGCGATCCCTTGAAGGGTGATGATCAAGACCCCCCGAAGATGGCGACCAAGGCCCGGAAACATAGGCCCTTCGGCAAGGTTGTCATGGCGAAGGCGGTCACACCCGTCATCCGGGGCGATCTGATGATCAATACCCGCTTGGACACGGTGACCAAGGCCGGGAAGCATAGGCTGTTCGGCAAAGTTGTCAAGGCGAAGGCGGGCAAGGACATCGTGGGGGCCACGACTCGCCAGAGGAAGGCGGCCGAGGACGAGAAGCATCGGCTCCTCGGCATGGTCGTCGTGTTGTGAGGGGCGGCGCGGGGTGGGGGTGATGTGTCCAAGCGCGGCGCAGGGCATAGGGCCCCCAACCGGGGGCCCGGTGTGCTCTGCTCCTCGGGCCTCGGCCCTCCTTCTCGTTGTTGCTCGCCTTCGCTCGGTCCGCTCAGTGCGTGGGTGGCTTGTGCCCCTCCTCGGCGGCGGGGGGGCGCGGGGCGAGCGTCCTCGGCCTGCGTGCCAGGGCCCCAGGGATGGGGCCGCGTCATCTGCACCCTCTGCGCCCTCATCTTCCTCCTCCTCCTCCTCCTCCTCTCCTCCTCCTCCTCCTCCTCCCTCCTCCTCCTCCTCCTCCTCCTCCCCCTCCTCCTCCTCCTCCTCCTCCCCTCCTCCCCTCCACCTCCTCCCCCTCCTCCCCCTCCTCCCCCTCCTCCCCGTCCTCCCCCCTCCTCCTCCTCCCTCCTCCTCCTCCCCTCCTCCTCCTCCTCCTCCTCCTCCTCCTCCTCTCCTCCTCCTCCTCCTCCTCCTCCTCCCCTCCTCCTCCTCCTCCTCCTCCTGGCCGCGTAGACGTTGTGACACAAACGACGCTCGGGGCATGGGTCCCACCCCCTCTCGTGTTCCCGCCGCCTCCCTATCTACTCTCCTCAATCTCTCCCCCTCCATTCGCCCATTCCCCCCCCTCTTGACTTCTCTTCCCCCATCTCTGTCTCGTTTTGTTTTTGTTTATCTCTCTCTCTCTCTGTGTATCGCCTACTTCCTCGACATCATCCTCTTCGCTCTCCTCTTCGCTTTCCTCCTCGCTCTCCCCTTCGCTTCCCTAGAATAACAGAGGCCAGCATAGACAAACGCTGTCCGAGGTCCGCGCGAGTTTCTTCGATCTGCGCTGGACCCAGCGGAGCGCGCCAGGGACGGCGCCCGAGGCGCCGCCAGAGGAACCCCGAACGCGGCGGATGACTTGACGGATCCCGCCCCGCCTGGGGAAGGACGCCTTCCAGAGCGGCGTGGCCTGCTCAAAGCCGGGCCAGGTCGCCTCCGTAGGGGAGCCCAGCAGCTGCATGATCTTGAAGATGGTGCCTGTCTCCGACTCGCCAGAGGGCAACCCAACAATGCCACCGTCGCGAAACACAAGTCACGACGGAAAATGTTTAGCCGCTGGCGGCCTCCTGAGGCCCTCGCCGGGCCGGGACCGTCAAAGAAGGGGTCGTGATGAAGAGCCGGCCCTTGGGAGAGGGTCGGGAACTCCGGGGACCCATATGGAAAAGAAACAAAACATTGGATGTCTGCGCATGGCGAGCGGTGGTTATCCGAGGAGGAGGAGGAGGAGGAGGAGGAGGAAGAGGAGGAAGAGGAGGAGGAGGAGGAGAGGAAAGAGGCGGAGGAGGGGGAGGAGGAGGAGGGGGGGAGGAGGAGGAGGAGGAGGAGGAGGAGGGGGAGGAGGAGGAGCAGATGCTGGAGCCAAGCGCGCAGTCGCCCGACACCCCGCCTTTGACCCCAGTCTGTCTCAGGAGCTCGACTGGAAAATTAAGGTGTCTAAGACGGTGATGTCCCTTGGTGCTGCCCTCCTCCCCCTTTGGCCTCGTGTGGTGTTCCTCGGGGTGGAGCGTGTTCCTCGTCCTCCTGCCCCTGCCGTGCATCGGCTGCAGCACCAATGGGAACTCATCAGTTCGGTCTGGAGGTGCCGAGTTTGCCTCCTAGGGTCCCTCTCTAAGCGCCCGCCTGAGCCAGGGGGGTGCAGGGGCCACTCCAGGCTCGACTCTGCTGTATTGGACAGGTTGGGGCATAAAGTCATTGCTCTGGCCTGCTCCGATAATTCATTTTTGTTCACTTGCCTGCACTGCAGGAGTTACAGTTCTGGGGCCCAGGTCAAGAAGCTGGGCCAGGTGTGTCAGCCGCCGACGGTCACAGGTCACAAGAACTGGAGAAGGATCCAGAAGGGCAGCCATCCAGATAAACCACACGTGGTGGTAGAGACTGGCTGTTCGTTACCTGTCTCGGCGTCGCTCGGTCGGCTCACCTCTTCCTCGCTCCCTTGCGAGCCTCACCTCCCTCCCCCTCCCGCTCTCGTCCCTCTCTCAGGGGCGAGGTCAGGTCAGGCCCCTGCCGCTGGAGGCCGGCCTGTGCAGCGCGCCCCGCCAGGCGGGGTCCCCGCTGCTTCGGAGGGGTGGGAGGTGGAGGATGAGGCTGCGTGTTTCCTTTTTTCGGGGCCCTCCAGGAGTGTTCTTCAGGAGGTCAGTAGGGGGCTCGCTCGCGAAGTTGACGAGGCCCCTCCTTGTGGTGTTCTGTCTCGGTTTTCGAGCGATTCGGACTGAGCCCCGTTTAATCCTGCCATGGGTGTCTCGCTCTGCCAGGTTCAGATCATTCCTGAGACATTGCCGTGGACGGCAAAAAAAAAGGGGCAGAGGCAGGGCGGGCGCGGAGGACGGGACGAAGCCCAGCATGCTTCAACGACGCCATGCTGCGGCAGGCCCTCCCGTTTTTTTTAATCCCAAAGCAGCGCCCCCCCCCTTGAGAACCAGTGGGCCTGCCGTTCGGGCAGGACTGAAGGGGCCCTGGGACACACAAATGAATACACACAAACAAAGAGATTCCCCATATGTTCCCATATTTCCTGGGTTCTTGTCTTCCCCCCCACTTACCACATTTTCCCCTATGTTTTCTGGGGGGTCGACGATTCAGTGTGTCTGTGTGTGTGTGTTTTCCCCTCCTGATGCTAGAAAGCAGCGCCCCCCCTTGAAAACCAGTGGGCCTGCCGCTCGGGCAGGACGCCCGTTCTGAAAAAAGAGAGCCTGCCCTGCCTCCGGCGGTGGGCAAGCCTCCCTTTCGTAGGCCTCCCCTTACATGAAAACGGCCTGGGACCTCCCCTCAATGAAAACGGGGGGGGGGCGGGTCACGTCGCGCCTCGCTCCGGCGCCGCCACTTGGGCATGCCTCGGTTTGGTTCGTTCCCTGACGGCGCCGGCGCGAATCGTGACGTGACCTCCCCCAACGGACCCGGACCCGCAAACATGACGGCTGCGGCGCCCTCTCGCGAGCCGAAAGCGGCCGATTCCTGAATCGACGTGTCCGGGCAGGAGGTCTATATCCACCTCCGATGCATCAATCTAGCGCGTACGAAGAAGCCCAAAGAAGTTTGACCATGCGGCTCAGCGACATGTTCAAAGATATCCCCTCTTCGAAGAAGCACCCCCTACCCGTGAAACTGCTGCACCTGTCTACACCTATGGCCATGCACAGCCAAGGAATCCCAGGCGAGAGACCCATGTTGCGAAGGATCTGCCGCCCATCCGTGCACTGCGTGTCTGCTGGCCAACGTCTTGACGAAGATGTGCATGTCAAGCTTCCTGGCCTCCGCGACCGTCGCACTCGAGCCCGCTACGTCCACCTCTGGCGACATGGAGCCCTCGACCAGCGCCCAGGAGGACAACACGCTCCCAGCGACAAAAAAGCTCCACGTCCGGCAACGAGCCGACCGAACTCAGGATCCCAGAGTCCGTCTCCAGCGCCCTGGGCAGCCTGCCCACGGTCACGGACGACGCGTCCAGCAAGACGAAGTCTGCGTTAGGCTCCACGAGCTCTGCGTCGAACAGCGACAGTGCGCTGCGCTGCGTGACCCCGCTCGGGGAGGGTCCTGTAGGTTGCCGCGCCTCACTCTCGGAGCTGCGAAGACTGGGAGAGCCCGAACCGGGGCCTGAGAGGGTGCCAAGGGCGGGCGGGTGGAATGAGGGCCGCGGCGGGGTCGGGACTTGGACGTCCAACCGGACCCGGCGGCCCCCCCCCCCGCGCTGGGTGATCCGCCGAGGGCCTTGGGGTCAACGCAAGCCCCGCTCCACGCCCTGTCCGCGCAGACGCCCCTGCGAGCAGCGCGGCGACTGCAGCCGCCGCGCCGTCCAGGCAGGGCCCGCTCCCGATCGTCTCCGCGCCCGCGGCCGCCCTCGGCAGGGCCCGCGGCGAGGCCTGGCGCGGCCCGGACCCCGACGCCCGCGCGCGCGAGGACGAGTTCGACGACTACTTGGCCGACCTGTTCGCGTGACGCCGGGTCGCCGCGCCCTGGGCGCGCCCGCGAGGGCACCCCCGTCGCGTGCCGACGGGGGATTGGACCCTGAGCGAGGGCCCCATGTGGCTCGGACGAGCGCCCGTGCAGCTCGGCCGGGTGCGTCCGCAGGCAGGGAGATGTCTGCAAGCTGGGCGGCGCCGTCGGCAAGGCAACTGCGGGCAGCGCGCGAGCTCCCAGCGGCCTCGCTCGCCAGGGAGGCCCGTACGTCCACGGCGCCGGGACAAGCGCGGGGCGCCTCCGCACCGGGAGCTGCATGCCATCCGGGGGCGCGCCGAGGCGCCGAGGTCGTCGGAGAGCGCCAGGCAGCCGAGCACGGCCCGCCTCGCTGGCCGAGCGCGCCGTCGGTCAGTCTCCAAGTCTTCGTGGCGCCCACGTGCTGAACACGCCCCGTGCCTGGTGCTCTGGCTTCCCCCCCCCCGACCCGCCAGGTCGGGAGCCCCCAAACCAGGTGGCGAGCCATCAGGTGGCGCCCTGAAATCCCCCAATTCAAAAGTGTCCCGCCGGGCTTGGGAGCACGGGGTCGCCGCCGGGCTCTGTGACTCCCTGGACCCACCAGCGTCCGGGGCACCCTCCAAGAAGCGCCCGAGCCCCCAAACCGGGTGGTGACACCAAATCGCCCGAGACTCACCGCCGGGCGTTGTCACCACCACGCTCGGGGGCCAGCGAGTCAGAGTCGGACCCCCCGCGCAGCCGGGGAGCCAGCCGCGCAAGAGCCCTCCTGCTGATCGGACGGCCTCCGTCGTCGGCGCCCTCGCGCTGCGCAGGCTCGCGGACGACGGGCGGCTGGGAGCTGCGGCCGCGGCGTGCCGCCGACGAGCGGGCCCGATCGGCGACGACCTCGTCGACCCGGCGACGCTTGCCGGACCTGGGATCAGGCAGAGGCTCGCGCTCCTTGTGTTGAGCAGGGACCGACCGTCCCGGCATTCCTATAGTCCTACCACGGAATATTCTTAGAACCCAAAGATGTTCTAATCACAAAAACAATGCTCTTGGAACATAAACTCGATGTGTGCAAACAAGACAGACCTAGCCGGACATGTTCTAGGAACATGTCGTGGAAACCACAGAAGAGGTTCTGAGAACATTGTTTGGTAGGGCCACAGGCGAGCCAGGACGCTTCTCCACTGCTTGATGTGGCCCTCCACCGCACACTGGCCTTTGAGGTTGCCCGGCTTCTTCCGGAGGTCCTCGTGCTGCGGCGTGCCCCTCAACGAGTCGCCCAGCGCCTCGCTGTCGTCCAGCAGCGAGGGGCCATCCGTTTGGCGCGGGCCTCGCCGCCCTCGGGACGACGCAGGGCCGACCTCCTTGGCTGCACCTCTCTGGTGGCAGGAGCTCGCCCTCCTCGAGGACGTCCTGGTGGAGCTCCTCCTCCTGAGCGCCCGAGCTCGGGCTCCCGGCGCGAACGGCCTCCACCCGTCGATGTGGATGACCTCGACCCTCGGGCCCCTGAAGCCGCACTCCTTGGACTCGCTGTGGCAGATGTGACAGACGGCCTCGCGCGCTTCTTCCGGCTCAGCTCGCCAAGGTCCCAGTCGTAGGTACTCCTCGGAGCTCACGCGGTGCACCGCCTTGACTGCCAGACCCGACGCGAGATCGCTCACGATCGAGGCAATCCTCAGCCCCGACTCTCCTTGAGCTCTGACCACGTCCTGTCGTAGCTCTTGGTCAACACCAGCCGCCCCAGTCGGAGTCCACGGCCCCACTCGGGTCGGTCAACACCAGGCGCCCTGGTCGGAGTGTCCCGCCCCACTCGGGCTTCTCGTCCTCAATTCGGGGTGAGGTCGAAATCTCCGAACGACGCGCACTTCCTCGATCCACGGCTCTGCGCCCTGCTTTTCCCCCGCTTCGCCACTGCGGGACGGAGTATAATAGGGTTGATATAACGCGCCCCCGTTTTCCCAGGCGGCGCTCAAGCAAGCACCCCGCTCCCCGGGCCAGGGGCTGCGCTTGCTGGAGCCGGCTCTGGCCCGGGCGGCGCTCAAGCACCCCACCCCCCAAGGCTTCCGGCGGCACTGGCAAACGACAGCTCGGTCACAGGCGGCGCTCAAGCACCCCACTCCCAGGACCAGCCGTCCGCCCCCCTTGGAGCTGCTGAGCCAACCAATGCCTGTCAAAACTGCCAGCTCGAGCCCTAAACGGGCTGCGGGCAGGAGGGGATGCGATCATCGACAAAACCTAGGTCACAGACCACGTCACTATATAGATATGTACATATATATATATATATATATATACAAATGTGTGAATATGTGACGTTGGAGATCTACAAATGTGTGAATATATACACACTGGAGATTGTATCGGCTCGCTAAGCTTCGCCGTTGCAATCTTGGTCGCCTGGCGCCAGCGAGGTGCGCTGCGAACGCCATCGCCGTCAATTGGGAATGGGGGAATGGGGCGACGCGGCCCCAGAGCTCTTAGAGGTGGCGGGCGCCACAGGTCTGGAAGGTCCCCTGAAGGCTCTAGGGCGCAAGAGGTTTGTTTTGTTCATGATGGCCACATGGTCACATGTCTTATAGAGCTTGAACGGCATACCGGATTCATCGGTTTCAGCAGGAACGAAGAGCTCCTTGGGATTCATGTTTCATGGGGCTCTTGGGCTTGAGCTGGAGCTGAGCTGGAGCTGGAACTGTAGCTGGAACTGGGGAAACTCCTGCAATTGATGCTACGGCTCCCCGTTCTTCTCCTCCTTCTAATCCTCCTTCTCCTGCTCATCCTCCTCGCCTTCTTCCTCCTCTGCCACCTCCTCACCTCGGAGAACGCGAAACGCTGGAAACTTGGATCGGGGCACATCAGCGACATCCTGGGAGAGGAGTTCTGACAACACGGAACATATGATTACCCCAGCAAGGCCCTCTAATAGCAGCAAAGGTGACCCATGGGACCCTGTGTGCCCGTTAGGACCTGCGGGTTTCCCGGACATGTGGCACCTCTGGCACCTGCGGAAATGGCGGGACCCTCGACGCTAGTAGCAGGACCTGTGGGATCTGTGGGACCTGTAATACTTGTGGTGCCTGCGATACCTGCGATACCCCTGGGACCTGCGGAACGTGCGCGACCTGTGGGACCCGTGGGACCTGCTGTGCCTGTGGAACCCGCGAGACATGCGACACTTGTGGGACCTGTGCGACCTGTTGGACATGCGAGACCTGTGGCATTTGTGGGTCCTGTAAACCTGTTGGACCCGTGGGGCCTGTGGGACCAGCGAGACCTTTGGGACCTGTAGGACCTGCGAGATCTGCGAGACCTGTGAAACCCGTGGGACCTGTGGGACCTGTTGGACGTGTGGCACCTGTAGGACCTATTGGACCTGCGGCACCTTTGGGACATGTGGGACCTGTGGTGGGGCCTGGGGGACCTGCGAGACCTGTGGGACCTGGGGGACCTTCGACACCTGTGGGACCTGTCCTGTGGGGCCTCTGACAACTGCGAGACCCTTGGGACCTGTGGCGGAGGCCTGTAGGGTAGACTGCTTGGGGTCTCTTGGTGCCCCCCGAGATCAGATCACTGAAGCATTTCTGGGGCTTCCCCGTGCGGTCTTGTGAAGACGCCTCGAAGGCTTTGGGGGCCTCTTGGGGGCCTCCTCGGGGCCTCTGGGGGCGCCTTGGGGGCCCCTCGGCTGCCTTCGGGGCCATGTTGGGGGAAGAAGCTCGAAGATCAGTTCGGGTTGTCCTTCGTGGGGCCCTCTTGGGCCGTACTGCTGGGTTTCTTTGGCCGTCTTGTGGCCCTCTTGGGCCGTCTTGGGGCCCTCTTAAGAACCACTTGGGCCGTCTTGGGGCGATCTTTGGGGCTCTTGGGCTGTCTTGCGCGGACAGAAGCTCGAGAAAGCGAGCACGTTCAAGTCGATCGAGCACCTAGGGGAAATCAATCCATGTTGGCGTCTGGGGCCCTCTTGGGGGCCATCTTCAGGCCCTCGTGGGGTGTCTTGTGGGCCTCTCGGGTCGTCCTGAGACCAGCTGGGGCGTTCTGGAGCGGTATCGGGCCGTTTCGGCGCTCCGCGGGACCGTCCGGGAAGCGATCCTGGGTCTGCTTTGGTGGCTGGGTATGGCCTGGAGGAGCCCCCGGAACCGAAAATTGAAATTTCTTCCCGATGAGTGCCCAGGGCCGAATTGATGTACGGGGGGTGGTCCGATCCAGGGGGGGGGTCCTTATATGAAGATTCGGAAAGAAATGTGTTTGTATACAGAGAGGGAGAGAGAGAGAGGGAACAAGAAAAAGAGAAACACCAAAAAGGAAGAGAGAGAGAGAGAGGGAGAAAAAGAGAGAGAGAGAGTGAGAAAGAAATAAAACAATTGGGGATACAGGAGAGGGAGGCAGGGGGAAGCATAATGATAAGGGGAAGAGGAGGAGCAGGAGAAGCCAGAAGCGATAGGAATACGTGCAGGAGCAAGAGCGGGAGGAAGGCGAGGAGAAGGAAGAGGAGGACGATGCCTATCTCGGAGTCTCCTGGGAAAGTCGGATCGCCGGTGGCCATCTCGGCGAGAATGCACCCGGCGGACCAGATGTCCACCTCAGACCGGACCAGCCCCCCCGACTCCTCCACCATCCCTCCCGCCCGCAGGAACGCTCGTGATCCAGCTGCCCGATAAGACGGCCTCGGCATTCCTGCTCCCCCTCCTGTCCGCGCCTCCTTCTCCTTGTTCCTCCTCCTCCCCTCCCTCCTTCACTTCCCTTCCTCATCCGACTCCCCCTCCTCACCTCCCCGCCTGATTCCCCTCGACGACGATGACGACGACATTCCTCAAAGCTGGACTCCTGACCTCTCCTGGGGGCGCGTTCTGATCAGAACCCCGAAACGAGCCGGGAAGTGGCGACGAGGGGTATCCTGGAGGCCCATAAAGGAGGAAACATCCCCCACGACGACGACGCCGACGACGACGACGACGACGCCTCTGAGCTGTACGTGGGCTGCCCCAGGAGCAGCTCCTGAGCATCGGTGAGCCGATGCCCATGACCACTGGCATGGCCCTGGCCCCACTGGCCGACTTAACCCCATAGGTGGTGGGGTACAAGTAATATCTATATATATATGTATATGTGTAAATATGCATGTATATGTACATGCAAAGAAGATGTACAAACAAAAAATATATCCACATATGAGCATGTATGCATGTATGTAGATGTGCCGGTATGTATGTATGCCTGTGTGTGCTTGTATGTGTATGCGTATATGTATACGTATATGTATATGTTTATGTATGTGTATGTATGACGTGTAACTGTAAATGTATGTGTACATGCACATGCATATGTCTGTCTGCACGTCTATGTGTTATGCGTGCGTATAGTTAGGTGTACATGTAAATACGCCTGTAAACGTACATGTCTATGTTTATGTTTATGGATATGTGTATGTACATGTGGATATAGATGCATACGTTTACGTGAATGTATACGTACATTCACATGTCTGTATATATGTGCATAAACAAATGGTTATGCATACGCATAGTGATATGCACATGTACGTGCCTACGGGAACGTCTGTGTATATGGATATGTATGTGTTTCGGTATACGTATGTGTATATGCAAGTGTATATGTATATGTGCGTGTATGTGTATGTGTATGTGCATGTATGCATGTATGTATGTACGTATGCATGCCAGAGTGAGAGGGCAGAACGGTCATTCATTGTCCCTGGGTGCGTATCTGAATAAAGAACTCGTGGTGAGAAGTATGCTTGCTGCGTTGTTGTTGATGTTGTTGTTGTTGTTGGTGTTGTGGTTGTGGTTGTGGTTGTGGTTGTGGTTGTTGTTGTTGTTTTTGTTATTATTGTTGTTGTTGTTGTTGTTGTGGTTGTGGTTGTGGTTGTTGTTGTTGTTGTTGTTGTTGTTGCTGCTGTTGTTGTTGTTGTTGTTGTTGTTGTTTGTTGTCGTCGTCCCACCCGCGACCCACCCGCGACCCACCCGCGACCCACCCCGCGAACCACCCCGCGACCCACACCGCGACGCACCCCGCGACACACCCCGCGACCCACCCGCGACCCAACCCGCGACCCACCCGCGACCCACCCCGCGACCCACCCGTGACCCACCCGCGACCCGCTCGCGACCCATGCCGCGACCCACCCTGCGACCCATCCGCGACCCACCCGCGACCCACCCGCGACCTAACCCGCGACACACCCGCGACCCACCCTGCGACCCACCCTCAAGGGAGGAAAAGTCACCCGGACCCGACAATTGACGTTTTTTAAAAGGCCCTGGGCGTTGACTAAACATCCCTGGCCTGTTCGACTCGTTCCTTGTGTGCGTTTACTCAACGGCTTCGTATGTCGGGGTGATTATTATGGGGTGGATTTTCTGCCCCCTACACCCGCGACCCACCCGCGACCCATTTGCGACCCACCCGCGACCCATTTACGACCCACTCGCGACCTACCAACATTGGTTTAACGAAAGAAATCGGCGCCTGCGGCGGGCTCCTGTATAATTTGTGAAACTTGGGCGCCTGCGGCGGGGTTCCCGAAAGTTTCGCAAACTGCCGACGTCCCCCCCGCCGCCTCACTCTCATCCGCATCTGCTGCGGGCAATACTTATTTCCATATCCAGAGCGTCTTGGACTTTTCGGGAGGGGTGCCGCCAGGCCGAGGCGCAGTGGATATGGATACAAATCTAGCCTTTTAGGGTCAGACTTTTATCCATATCCAGTGCGCCTCTGCTTTCTGGGGAAGAGAACCCCAAACTCCAAGACGCACTGGATGTGGATATAACTATTGCCCGCATCTGCGGGGCGCTGCGTATATACAAATGCGATGCTCCCTTCGGGCTTCGTGGGGCCGGCCCTCACCTGGGGGATGGCGGTCTGGTGTTGACGGGACCTTTGTGGGCCCCGGGAACGGCAGGGCTGTTTTTTCACCGCTTCCCAAAGAATGTCCCTTGACAATGGAAGCGGCAAAAAAGACGGCGACCGAAAACGGCAGCAAAAACGGCTCCAGGATTGGAACCGGAGCCAGAACCGGTCAACGAAAACGGCGAGGGAACCGGTAACAAAAACTCGGCGTCGTAACCGGCACAAAAACGGCAGAACGGAGCCGGTAAAAACAACGGCCCTGTCGTTTCCAGGGCCCACTAAGAACGGGACACCATGACACTACAGTCGGATCGTTGACCTAAGGAACCTTAAATAAGGAACGAGGCCCCTTGATCCCAAAAGTTAAGCTTGGATTTCCCATCGAAAACCTCAGGAAAACCCAAGCCAAACTGTAAAACAATCAAGGAACACCGAGCCCCTCCCCAACGAGAAGGGTTCTTTCTTCAGTGCCCCGACTGTATGCGCATACACCGATTCTGGCCAGGCCCATCCTGCGCCCAGGATCGGCGCACACGCCCTCCTACCTTGGCCAGGAAGGCATATGCACCGATCCGCTCAAGCAGTGGCAAAGCGCCCTGGCTCGCCTATAGCCCTGCCAAACCAATGTTCCAAGAGCCTTTCGTGGTTCCCACGGAATGTTCTCAGAACATTTTTGGTCGAGAGTGTCCTCTTTCGTCACGGCAGGTTCATGTTATGAGAACGATGTTTTGGTTCTGGTGGTCTGGTGGATGGAGGTCTGCACCCTGCGAAATGCTTAAGAAACTATGGGTTAAGAAACTCAGAGTCTCAGAATTTGAATGAAAACCCAGAATGTCTCTCGAAATCGTAGGCTTTCCATCGAAACATTAAGAATCATCGAGACTCTGGCCAAAAACCTAAGCTTTCTTAAGCATCGCCTAGGGTATGGTGTTGACGGCATGGCACAGTGGTCGGGAGCGGCCAAGAGGGGGGTGTCCAAGAGGGGGGGGTGCAAATCATGACCGGCGGCATGTGCGCGGCCCAGCGGGGGGGCCAGGGACGCAATGAAATAAGAAGAGGCGCCATGAAATCAGGGGAAATATCATGGCCCCCGCCATGATATCCACTAGGAAGGCACCAACTATACACCAACACCGATCCTGGCCAGGATCACCCTGGGCCCAGGATCGGTGTATACGCCCTCCTGCCTTGCGCAAGAAGGCATATACACCGATCCTGGGCCCAGGGTGATCCTGGGCCAGGATCGGTGTTGGTGTATAGTTCGTGCCCTCCGATCCACCCCCCCTAGTCATCCCCCCCCTCTTTTCCGCCCCCGAAGTGGGCATGGGGATCGGTGGGACGATGCCGCGCTCCGGCCCTCGGTACCACAGCGTCACGACCTCCGGGGTGTACGCCTCGCGGGGGGGGGGCCCGTCGTCGCCGCCGCCGTCGCCGTCGTCGCCGTCGTCGCCGTCGTCGTCGCCGTCGTCGCCGTCGTCGCCGCCGCCGCCGTCGTCGTCGTCGCCGTCGTCGCCGCCGCCGCCGTCGTCGTCGTCGCCGTCGTCGCCGTCGCCGTCGCCGTCGCCGTCGCCGTCGTCGTCGTCGTCGTCGTCGTCGTCGTCGTCGTCGTCGTCGACGGCGGGGGAGCGGCAGAGTGCTTGCCCGGCCCTCCCCGCGGGGAGCATCGACTCGCGACGGAAGGCTTGCGTGATCCTCTGCTCAGCTGGGGGCCCCTGCCCGCGCCCGCTGGGGGACCGCCGCACACCTTGCGACATGCTCAAGAAATCATGGGTTCAGAAATTCAAAGTCTCAGAATTGGAGTAGAGACCCATAATTTCGATTGAAATCTTGAAATTTGGTTCCTCAAATTTCTATCGAAATCTTAAGATTTACATGGGAACGCTAAGAATCGTCGAGGCTCTGGCGTAAAACTGAAGTTTCCTTCAGCATCGCCTAGGGAGCACAACAACACGGAATGCAAAGTCGGCTCCGAGGAAGCCGTCCAGAGCTCCAGGGGCCAACGCTGTGAACAAATCTGGGCGTCCGCTTGGGGCTCTCAGCTGCCCCGAGGCGCAGCCCGCATCGTGTCGACACGGAGGCAATGCAAAATAGCAGATCGGATACGCAGGTCTGGCGCGACACGGTCGCCAGAACGTGGGCCAGCCCGTGCTGAGCCGAGGCGCAGCACGGGCTGGCCCACGTTCTGGGTGTGGACTTTTGGACTTTTGGAACACGGTCCAGACGGGAACTGTTGCACATAGCGTGTCGCGGCGGCGGCCCCGGCGACACGCTGTGCCATGCAAGCGGATAGCGTGCCGCTCTGCTCCGCGGGGCGGGAGGCGGGGAACCACTGAAACACTCACGCTTCGGGACTGGGGCGTGACTAGCCTGCCGCGCCGAAGCGTGGCGGGCCAGAGCCGGCGCCGCGACACGCTAAGCCTCAAAGCCAAAGTTCCTGACCGCACGCGTCGCGTTGCAACACGGTCCAGGAGCCCCCAATGAAAGCCCCAAGGGGGCCCCTCAATGCGGCTTCGAGGGCCCAGAAAAACTCCAATGAAGGCCGCAAGGGAGTCCCTAGAGACGGCCCAGCAGGACGACCCCAGGAGAGAGCGCACAGACGGCTGCCTCGAGAGGCCCTCCGCGAGACCCTGAGGCGGCCCAGGAGGGGCACCCGCACGGCCCAGCAGCGCCCCCCGAGGCGGCACCCCAGACGGCCCAGTAGGGCCCCAAGCCCTGGCCTCCATGATGCCCCGGATCCGAAACGAGGCCCGACGAGAGCGTGGCGTCGAAGCTGGAGACCACGGCACTGGCGACGGCAGTTGTGATGGCAGCCTGCACCTGCTGGAGCATGGCGGCCTGCGAGCTGGTGGCTGCAGGTGCCCCTCCTCCGCCTACAGCGCTGAGGTCAACGGCGGCAGTTGGCGCCCCAGGGGCAGGGGCAGGCGTAGCACGGCGCGCATCATGGCCAGCGGGTGCGTGCGCGGGCGGGCGCCCACGCGCGGGTCCCAGCGGGGTGCCGCCGCCGTCGACGTGGGTCCGCCACGGGTCGCCACCAGCAGCGGCTGCGGGGGGCTCGCCTCCACCGGCGGTGGCCGGAACGCCTGCCGCGCCGCCAGGTGTGGCGCACCCATCCACTGGAGTCGGAGGGACCCGCGGCTCCCGCGATGGGAGCGTGGGGGGGGCAAGTCAAGGTCCAGGCCGTCGCGCTCCATCTGGAAGGCGGCATCCGCGGCGCGCTGGCGGAGCTCCGGCCCGAGCGTGAGAAGCTGGTGGCATCCCGGCGCCGACGTGCACGCTGGCGGCGGCGCCCAGCAGCAGCGCGGCCACCAGGAGCCGCAGCGCCAGGCGCGCGCCCTCCGCCGCTCTTGCTCTCCAGCAAACGTTGGGCACGGGCACGGCGCCCCGAGCCTCGCGAGCGGTCCGAGCGGCGGCTGGCCTCCGACGAGCTGGACCGCTCGGAGCTGCAGCTGCGCTGGGCTGCCGTCGGAGTCCACGCGGCGCTGCTCGGGGTGCCCCGCAGCGCCGCGGCTCCGAGCGCCAGCAGCCTCGGCCCTGCTCTCTGGGGTAGCGTGTCGGGAAGCAGTGGCTCGCCCGCGGGCGCGGGAGGCGGCGGCGCCTGGGGCAGACCAGGGGCCGCGAGAGGGATCTTTGTCTGGCCGCGGACTAGCCGTACCCGTGCTCCGCTACAGGGAAACATCAGCTTGAACCAAAGTGGCTACGGAGGAGGGGGAGGAGGAGGAGGAGGAGGAGGAGGAGGAGGAGGAGGAGGAGGAGGAGGAGGACGACGGAGGGAGCGCGGAGATTGGGGACAGAGGCAGGCAGCAGCATCAGAAGAAAGGGCACCAGGCCGACATATCGAGACTGGAAAACTAGAGCTATCAAGGTCAACGTCCGCCATCGCGCTTGCAGCTGTTGGTGTGGATCGGGTGATTGCGTGTTACGTTGTATCTGCCTCTTGCGAAGCAAAAAACTAGGCCCCCCGGCGCATGCAAACCGAAATTGATGTTTGTCCACTAAACCACTGCGACTCCGCTTCCCAAGACAAAACTGCCCCAACATAAAAATAGGGGCGGGGGATCCATGGTACCTACCACCCCTGGGTGCCTGCCCCCCCCGCCCCCAGCACCCATGGCGGCCCCACGGCCCCCACGAAGGCCAGGATAGCCCAAGGTGGCCTACAAGACGTCTAACATCGCCTCCAAGTTGGGCAGGATGGTTGTATACGGCCTCCGCGACGGTCCAACACACCCTCCAAGACGGCCGCGATAGCCCCCAGACCGATCCAAGGAGAGGCTCCCAAGACATCCCACGAGGCATCCTGGATGGCCGACAGAAGAATCCGAAGATGCCAACAACAAGAATGCGCAACGTCTGTTTAAAGCAGCCTAGCGGACGCAGAGTTCGCGCATGTTCCTGGCTCCCAAAGCCCAAGACCCAGGACGGCCCCAGAGGGCCCAAACGCGCATGTTCCTGGCTCCCAAAGCCCAAGACCCAGGACGGCCCCAGAGGGCCCAAAGACAGCCACAAAAGGCCCAAGACAGCCCAGAAAGACCCCGATACGGCTCCAAGAGGGCCCCACGACAGCCAAAGAGATTCCGAAGGCGGTGCTAAAACAGCCCACGCGGGACCGAACACAGCCCAGAGGCGGCCACCGAAGGCGGCCACCGAGGGCGCCCCCGTGGGCTGTGAGCGCACGAGGGCGACCCTGAGGCGGCCCAAGAGAAACCCTCGCGAGGCCCCCTCCTCCTCCTCCTCCTCCTCCTCCTCCTCCTCCTCCTCCTCCGTCCGACTCCGATTCGATTCGGCTTCGGCTTTCGATGTGGGATCCAATTCCGCAGTGGAGGCCTACCCCCCGGGGCCTCCAAGAGGCCCCAGGAAGCCCCCACCAGGCGTCCGCCCCAGCGCGGTGGCGAGATCGCGCAGCAGCGCGCCTGCATCAAGCAGCCTGCGATCGTCCGTGAGCGCCGCTGCCCGGGGGGGGCAGGCGGGCCGCCCGCCCGGGAGCCTTGCTGGAGGGGGAGAAGATGCGCGAGAGCCCGAAATCGCAGATCTTCAGGCCGTGGACGGGGTGGACGAGGACCTGATGGTGATGCTGACGAAGGTCATCACCACCACCACCACCACCATCACCACAATCATCACCATCACTAACACCATCATCACCATCATCAGCACCAGCAAAAAACATGTTCATCAACACCATCATCGTCATGACCTCCAACACCATCATCTGCATCATTAACATAATCCGCATCACCATCCTCATCATCAATATCAACACAATCATCATCGGAATCGTCATCGTCGTCATCATCATAACCATCACCATCATCTTCATCACCACCAGCATCATCAAGAGCATCATCCTCGTCCGCATCCTCTTCATCAACATCATCACCATCAACATCACCAACGTCATCGTTGTCACCGTCGCCACATTCAACACTACCGCAAATAACATCCATTTTAACGGCAGCGTAACCACCATCATCAAGAGCTGCAACATCATCACCATCACCATCATCAACAGCAATCATTATAAGACTGTTCGCTCTTACCTGCTCGCGTGCCATTCAGCACGTATCTCCCACACCCTCGATACCCGCCCTCTTCGTCTTCGATCGTCCCCCCCTGGGGTTCATCTTCCATACCTATCGCGTGTGGTTTTTGCAGCCCAGAAACACGGAAACAGGACGGATGGAAGGGGGAGGGAGAAGGATGGAACACGAGATTCGCAGGAGTGGGGCTAGGAGCAGTAAACACGTAGCAGAATCAGACGGGCCCATCGGGCGGGTAGACTCTAACGGGCGTGTCGAGAAGGCAGGCCCAGGCAGCCAGGTCGAGCAGGCGCGTTGCTGAAGCGTGAGTACTGAATTGATCGCGAGGAGAGCCCCGGCGTGAGCACGATTCCCAAGTAAATCGTGAGAAAGGTCCATGCGAGAGCGTGATTGCTGAGTGTCGAGGGCGCGGCGCCTGAAAAAATTGTTCGGAACTCCTACGCAAGAGAACGCTTCCGGTAGACATTGTGAGGGAAGTCCCTCGCGAGAGCGCGATATTTCGAATCAATTGTGAGGAAAAATCATGCGGGAACCGTTGATGTTGTTGTCGTTACTGTTGTTGTTGTTGTTGTTGTTGTTGTCGTTGTTGTTGTTGCTGTTGTTGTTGTTTTTGTTGTTGTTGTTGTTGCTGCTGTTGTTGTTGTTGTTGTTGTAAGTCGGGGGCCAAGACACAATACTGAGACCCAAAACTTTCCCTGATGAAAACATGGTGCGAACTCGGGGAAGGGCACTTCAATTGAAAAGGCAAAATGTGTCCTGGAGGGGGGAGATCAACAATATTTTCCTTCAATCGTGAAAGTCCAACAACAACGTCACTACCACCATCGTTACAATCCTCGACTCGCCACGGTGCCACCTGGCACGTTGAGGCGTGGTAGAATGCCCAGGGTTGTCTGGCAGGGCTCTACAATCTTCTAACAGGCGACCCCCTATTCCAGCATTAGTTATGCGCATCGCCCCTCCTCCCTGGGCCGCGATACCTTGTACAAGAATAGTGGATCCGCACTCCGAAGTCAACGGGTACCCCCGAGGTTCCAAGACAGCCGAGGCAGACCACCAAGGCATACCCAGGCCGCCAAGATGGCACGAGATGCTTCCGAGACGGCCCAAGATGGCCCCGAGGCAGGACGGCCACAGGAGGACCCCACCAGGACCAGAAGAGGCCCAAATAATTGATGTCCTGTACTCCTTTCAAAAATGTGGGCGTCTTCCTGCGGAGGCCTCTAAGTTGGCCCAAAGACGGCCCAAGCAAGCCCCAAAATGATGCCCCTAGATGGGACGGCCCCAAGAGAGCCCAAGCTGGCCCAACAGGGCCTCCGGAGGAATCCCAGATGTCATCCGAGGGCCACTCGACGGCCCCAGACAGCCCCAAGACGGCCGCACGAGACCCCCTAGACGACCAGGATGGCCCCAAGATGGCCCAAGAAAGGCCCAAGATGGCCTCAGAGGGCACCACACGAGCCCAAGATAACCCCAAGACGGCCAAACTGAGCTCCGAGAGAGCTCCTCGAGAAAAGAAGGCGAAAGGGTCACATGTGACGGTAGTCACCGCGTCCTGTGCTTGAAGCTTTGCCACCCAACGGGCTGAGATGGCACGGTGGCGAGACTGACCGTAGGCACCAGGATAACATTAACACCACCATCATCGACATCCGAATCTTCATCGTCCTCATCATCCTTGTCTTCCTCATCTTCATCCTCCTCCTCATCACCATCACCATAACCAGCATCATCGTCATCACCATCATCATCACCATCATCATCATCATCATCATCATCATCATCATCACCATCATCATCATAATCAAAATCATTATCCTCATCATCCTCATCACCATCACCATCACCATCACCATCATCATCATCATCATAATCAGCATCCTTAGCATCATCATCATCAGCGACATCATCATGATGATGTTGATCATCAACATCGTCATCATCATGATCCGCATCATCCTAATCCCCATCCTCATCATCAACATCATTATCATCATCACCATCATTATCATCATCATCATCATCGAAATCTGTGCCCAGTCGGCCGCTCACTCACGATGACAGCCACTGCCGACCGCAATGCCCGACACAAGGGCCTCGGCCTGGGCCTCCGTGATCGCGATCGCGGTGTTCCTGCGGTCACCGTGATCAATTACGGAAAGGGGTTTTCGCTCAGAGTGTCGAAGTGACGGCCCATACAGCACGCCGTGCCTTGAAAACTGAAAGCATGCCGCCCCTGAGGTTGCGCTCGAAGCGGAAAGCGCATCGCGCCAGAGGTCTGTAAATACTCGGAATGCTGACAGCGTGTCGCGCGCAAGTGCGGTGGGCCACAGCCAGCGGCGCGACACGCAAGGCGAAAGTTTCTTGCCGCACGGCCGAGTCTCATAGTGACGACGTCGGCGTTGGCGCCTGGACCATGCGTCGATCGATGAGCCTTGCACGACCGCGCCTCTCCGATTAGCACACGTCTCAGGCGGACCCCAGCGGCCTTCGGCGGCCTTCTGCTCGAAAGCTGGGCGGTTGTCTTGAAGAAAGGGGACACCATCGAACTGCCAAGACCAACGGCGGCCGATGATACCGTGATCAGCAGCCACTGTGGCGAGGACGTTCTGCGGTTTCAGGTCGCGGTGTATGATGAGCCGGCAGTGGCACGCGTGAACCCCACTGAGCAGGTCCTGCGTGTACCCCAGGACGTCCGACATGGGCATCTTGGCGCCCTCCCTCCTGAAGCCTTTCAAGATCTGGTGGAGGTCGTCTGGAACGTACCGTGATCGGAAGGAGGAGGAGGAAGAGAATGGCCTCAAGAAAAACCCAGAACAGCTCGACAGGGCATTCAAAAGAGTCACGAGTCCAAGGCGGATCAAGAGGGCCTTCAGAGGAGTCCAAGGCGGATCCAAAGTGCCCAACAACTTTCCAAAACGGTGCAAAGATAATCCGGGAAAGCTCCAAACGTTCGGAAAAGGAAGAGGATGAGGAGGACGAAGGGGGAGGAAGAGGATGAGGAAGAGGACTCGAAGATCAGCTGGAAGCCCTGACCCGTCACTTGGAGGTCCTTCAGCTGCACGATGTTGGGGTGAACGAAGTCCCGCAACAGAGACACCTGAGCGTACCAGTGCGAAAGGGGAGCGCGTCCAAAACAATCGGATCGGATAAGCCGACGCCTGAAGTGGACAAGAGCACTACAGTCGAGACGCTGCAATAGGGATCGCGCTGGGCCCAGGAGGGACACACACACACACACACACACCAAAAAAAACAGCATAAAACAGACACATCGTAAGGTCGTTCGGTGGGTCTGCGTCGTGTCGACCCCGCCGTTGGTTCCTGACACAGCGGGGATCGCTCAACCTTATCGGCCGCTTCCGAAGCGTCAGCTCGTTCCTCATCGGCCGACCCTGGGGTCGCGGGCGGCGCTCCACCTCGCCCGCGCTGGGGCCGCCGACACGGTCGACACCGACGCGAACGTGTAGCCCACGCCGAGCGCATGGTTCTCACAGGGCACACATCCTCTCCTCCTCCTCCTCCTCCTCCTCCTCCTCCTCCTCCTCCTCCTCCTCCTCCTCCTCCTCCTCCCTCCTCCTCCCTCCTCCTCCTCCTCCTCCTCCCTCCTCCTCCTCCTCCTCCCTCCTCCTCCTCCCTCCTCCTCTCCTCCTCTCCTCCCCCCCTCTCCCTCCTCCTCCTCCTCCTCCTCCTCCTCCTCCTCCCCCTCCTCCTCCTCCTCCTCCTCCTCCTCCTCCTCCTCCTCCTCCTCCTCCTCCTCCTCCTCCTCCTCCTCCTCCTCCTACACATCTACTTCACGGGACCCCTGGCCGGGGGGCCAGGCTCCCGTGGGAGGCTGCGTGGCCAGGGACCCCCTGGGAAGGGGACCCCGCGTTGGGGGCCGCCCCAGTGCGGGGGCTTCTTCCTCCGAAGGCCCCACGGCCCTCGCCTCCGTCAGGGGGCCGCCTCGGCCCGAAACCCCGCTGACTTATGGGGGTGCCCCTGCTCTGCGTGCCGCCCCTTCCGCTATTCAGGCACCCGGCAGCGCCTCGCGAATGACGTGCGCCGGCACGCCGTCGTTGCTGTCGTCGTCGAACCCGATCTGCTTCACGGCAACCTGCTCGTTGGTGTCACGGTCCCTCCCCAGGAAGACCGTGCCGAAGACCCCGCTGCCGACGACATCCAGGGGCTCGTACCTCTGCTCGGAGGGCGCGGCGCCCGTCCCGTCGGGCTCGTTCGTGGCGGACTCTGGCTCCAGGGTCGTGGAGTTGGAGGAGCCCGCGTCCGTAGAGACCTGCCCTCTCCCTCATCCCTCGATCCTCCTTCGAAGACCGACCCTCGCCTGGCTCGGCTCCTCTCTGGAAACCTCAGAAGGGGCGGGCGGAGGCCGCTCCCCCCCCCCTTCGCGCTCCCGCCCCCGCTCCCGCCCCCCCATGAGCCTCCTCCCATCGCCCCGCCCCCCGCTCCCCGCCCTCCTCCAGCACCCCGCCCCCCTCCCCCTGTCCTCATCCTTCCCTCCTCCTCTCCAGTCGCGTCGCTCGCC